ACATTAAGACGTAATAAAGTACTTTCACTTTGGTCACATTAAGATGTAATAAAGTACTTTCAGTTTGGTCACATTAAGACGTAGTAAAGTACTTTCACTTTGGTCACACTAAGATGTAATAAAGTACTTTCAGTTTGGTCACATTAAGATGTAATAAAGTACTTTCACTTTGGTCACATTAAGATGTAATAAAGTACTTTCAGTTTGGTCACATTAATACGTAATTAAGTACTTTCAGTTTGGTCACATTAAGACGTAATAAAGTACTTTCACTTTGGTCACATTAAGACGGTGTGATAAAATATTAAAGTGTCTTGATATCATAAGGTTGCTGATAAGATTCTAAATTTCATTTCCTAGTTAATTATTCTGTTCGTCTTTACGTATTGAGGTTAATAAGAATGCAGTAATTTTTCATATAACACATAGATATAATTCATTCTACTAGTTGCTTAATACTCTCGAAAAGCCAAAATATTTCTATAAAATGTTTAAACCAATGAAGCTTTTTTTAAAAAACAAATGATACGTAAAAGACAAACCTTATAAAGAAAAGCCCGTATTTAAAATGATTATATCTCTGGTACAACTTGTCCCATAGATTTAAATTCATCAGAGGCGCATTGAGAATCATTATTTTCCTTCGAGAAAGGTTGAACATGGTACACTGTGTTTAGAAAATTGTCACAGAAGGTGTTCAATATGCTTTCCGTTATTCTCAGTCAGATTATCAACCTTATCTTTAAAGATAATGAAGCTAATGCAAGCACCATCTGTCCCAGACAATGTTAAATGATCATCGCTTCCTCATTTCCAATTATATTGAAAGTTCCTGGGTTATTTTGAAAGAAATTTCCTATCTCGGTGTCTTAACGGTAAGCTCGAGGGCTTATAACGCTAAAACGTAGGATTCGAAGCTTTGTGCTTAACAACAAATAAATATATTTCCTTTGAAGACATCTTGTGATACTTTCTAATAACACTGATTCCGCTCAAAGCGATAAGTCTAGTTAATAACAGGAGATTCGACAAGATATTTACTACGAAATAGTTGTATGCTATCTGACTACTGAAGTAGTGAGGAATAATGAAAGACTGAACATAAAATTAGAATAAACAATCTTTATTTAACCCTCCAATCCCAACTCATTCATTTCTCATGAGCTTGAAAATCACGAAGCTTTACTAATTATAACTCTAAATTAACAAAGTGTATCTTCATGAAATTTGGCTTGCATTTAGTATATATTACAAGCCAGTTGTATTCAAAGAATCGGAATGTTTAATAAAGTATTTATAGTATAAATTTATAACTTTCAGAAGCCTTTACTGAATTATTCTGAGTGTTTTTTATGCTAAAAATAAGAATACTTCTTTTCACCTAATAGTTTTCATTTTAAGCTTGCTTAACACCTAGGCTATTCTATATGAATATCAAAAGTTTTTTAAAGCAAAGTTTATACATTATCAGTTATTTTCTCCACCCTAATACTAATTGTAGCAAAATCATCAATTTACAGTGATATGACATTTTGAAAGTTATGAAATCAAATGATGTATTTTTTCAATGAAATATTTGTCATAATATCTTCACTTTCATTATCTTCAATTGTTTTCTTTTAAACATATATTTTATTTTTATTTTATAGATTTACTGCTTGGCTTCTGTGACAAGTTTGGCTTCTCTCATGTGTGAAAAGCGACACACACACACAGTAGCAGATTTTCATACACTTATGTACGTTCGCGTGAGTCTTTAGACTCGTGACTCGTGGTTATTTAAACATAATTTTTTTAACTATGGCATAGCGGCTCATAGAATGGCTCCGAGTTTTTGTTTTTTTTCAAGTACAAACTTTTAGCTCATAGCTCCGTCATCTCTTGACCGATTTGAGATCTAATTATAGTTTTGGACTCAGGAGATCAAACCCTTTCGCCCAAGATCTCATAGATTAATTTACTCTAATTTGAAGTTAGGCTAGTAGAGATCCTGATGAGTGGTAAAATTGAATCGGGTATACGTGCGCCCCACGCTTGCCATTGCCGGCGCACAAAAATATTGCTAATAAATAGGAATAAAAGGTTTCATAGATTAATTTCCTCTAATTCTGCCAAAAAGAATTTCAAGTTCTGTGGCTGTTGAGGATTTCCTCTTGTTTCTTTAAGTCTTTTTCGTCAGAAAAATTAGTCTATAATTCCAATATGCATCTAAGAGATAAATAATACGTTAATCGTTAAAAAAAGAATGTCTAAAAACGACTATAATATAACTGGTTTCCTAACTACGCTATTTAAGGTGAATTAATTGTTAAATGGTACGAGTATCAACACTCACATCAGCTCATAACTACTGGTCTAACGTTTATTGGTGCCAATTTCAAAATGACCATTGAAAGCTTGGAGTTTAAAATAAGATCTTTCTATTGGTTATAAACATGTTCTGGTTTTTGAAAGCTGCTTTGAAATTAAAGTAGAGATGGGCGGGGTTTCTATCGTGGGTTGAGAAAATTTCTTTGTTCCTCACTATGGGGAGAAGTTAGCATATTAAACATGTATATTTAACTTTGGCATTGTTTATATATTGTGTCTAGGATAAATCAGGCAGTGTGACTATTATAATATTAAAGTTATACAAACTAAAGGAGGTGAATTCAGAACGCAGATGCGTCCTGTGACAATTTTTTATACATTTTCTTTAGAAATTAATCAATTAAAACTTAGATAACATAACAATTTGAATTATAAACTACACTATGGTGCTAATTTCGTTGACATATATTGATAATAAAGTCGTTTAATTAAATTTTGAATGTAACTCTGTGATGAGTCAGTCCCGTATTTGAAATATATAATTAACTTGTCACAACAAACCGTTGCTCTTATTAGAGAGTTAGTTGTACAGATACTGTTCCTCCTTGACCTCTAGCTCCATATCTCTCCCGCATGATGTTCTCGACTGAATAATTCTCTTGTTAGCAATTTAAATTGTTAAAGTCATACTTACTTAGATCAACTAGTGCTACACACGTGACTAATCATTCCCCCAATAAAATACAAGAGAGGTTGTTACCTCTAGAGGTCACCTGACTGCCCTTGCAAAATATGATTTTCGAACTTCACATTCCACTTGTGATCTTGAAGCTATATTACCCATGGGTAGTCAAATGCGCTTACTTTATGCGAATGACATCCTACAATGAGTAGCTAAAGTGAAAGGAATTTAATGACATTCTTGACCAATGTGGTTTGAAAATATCCAAAAATTACAAATCTTGAAAATTTCTATATTAATACAGAGAAGTAAGAGAAACAGTATGTTTATACATGTCAATCACACAGCCAAAAATCTTCTGTTGCAGTGAGTTTTCAGGGTCGTCGCTGACCATTTCTTTCTGACTAAATTGTTGTGATTCAATTTTCAGAAAATAAAATTTTCTGTTATACGACTTTTAATGGTACGAGTTTGTCCAATCTTCTTGAACGATGTTCTTAGTACCCGCGCTTCTAGGCATGGAATAACGTGGTCTTCCGATAAGTTTTCACAGAGGACTCCATTTATCAACACAGTTTGGGCACAGCTAACTTCATCAACAAATTCAGAGTTTGTTTATGTTCGATTTAGAGTAAAGCCACATTGGACTATCAGGGGAAACTGAACCCCGGGTTTTAGAGTTGTAAGCCTACCAAGGGATCGAATTCAGAGAAATAAGGATTGATGACAGCATTTCTTGACTTGATATATTCATTAATACTAGGAGGCATGTTTGGTTCCATTGATCATTGGCTTGGTCAATCGACAAAGGCATGTAGACATCTAAAGCTTTGAACTTTAGTGTTCCTTTACCGTTATCGGTTTCCAAACCCTACTTTGGTTGATATCAAGTTTTCGAGCAGCACTGTTTCCACTTTCTATCCAAAAAGGATATTTTTCAGTTGGGTAGTGGATATTTTGAGTAACCTTCATTAACATTTTCAGAGATACAGATGACCCCTCAGAACGAGGAGTATCTTTTATCTATCCATTTGAGTCGAAATGGGCATGAATTTCATTTTGTAATTACCTTTAGGTGAAAGTAAAACCGCCATTATTTTGGATGATACAGTCAATTAACAGTTACTCGACCATGCCCTTTGATATGCGTTTTATTGAAATGCCAATTTCGAATTGCTGATAGTAAGAGAGAATATAGAAAAGAAGAAAAATAATTACAATGCTAGTTGCGAGAAAAAGGTTTATATAAGAAGTATAATACAGATTCGAAGCATCATATATTATGTCCAAGCTAGTTTCGTAGATTAAACTTACAATCCCTAAAAGTGCCTTTGGAAAAATTTTGTAAGCCTAGGAAAGTATAATTATTGTATTATTTAAGGTCGTCGGTGGGGGAAAGGGAGGGATAAAAGGGTGCCGCACAGTAGGGGGTATCATAAGAGGCCTGTAGGTAACATGGTCTGTGAAATCATAGACCCAAACTGTGCTACTAAGGGCGGGTAGTTTCAATGAATGTCGCCAAGGACGGATAGTTCTACATCAAGTCAGAAGAGGACTTCTCCGAAGTTGGATGTCGAGGTGTCTGAATCTGAGATTAAGTCATTACGAAGTTTGTCTTGACCTCTACTGCAAACATTTCATACACGATATTAATAATCATTAAGATCAACTTTGTACTTTATATTTTAATTTCAAAATTATGGACAGCTATGCGCGCTGGTAGTCCTTGTGTGGCTCTGTACACAAATTGTAAAACAATAAACAAACACCAAGACAGCGTTCTACGAAGTTGCAAAATGGGCAGGAACAAGCACTAAAACCGCCTCGCAACTGAATTATAAATAAGATTCGCGCTAATAGTACAAACAACCTAACAAAAAAGGCAGCTAGAACAAAGCCACCTTATACACTTAAAGCAGCAAGAGTTAAATCTAGAGACAAGATTCTCGCTAACTCGGTGTGAGGTCAGGCGTGACACAGTAGCCGCAAGCATAGTAAAACACTTACTTGCAACAAGTCACGTCCAATACATAGTAAAACACTTACTTGCAACAAGTCACGTCCAATACCAGTACAAGGAGTTAAAGGATGAACGATATAGATAGTAAAAAGTGGCAATCAAACGATGTAACCATTATCCCCACCTACTGTGACAGAAGTCAAATTATTGGCCTGAACACAATTTGTCCTAAGGGTTAGCGGCTCTTAAGTGAAATTGGTTGTTACACCATCTTTAAGTTAAGCCTGATGGAAACCTCTCGTATAAAGTGTTTAATAGACGTTTCAACCTTTTATTTTTATCACGTATTTTGCTGAAACTTTTCCAGAAGTAAATCACAGGATGGAAATTTATATATAATCAGTAGGTTTTCTTTGCTAATATCATTCTGAAATATCCTAATAGTTATATTTAAGTGTACATTTTATTGAAATGGTTTGTTTCCTTGTTTCAGATTTCTCGCACCAATCTACCAAAGGGTTGTCTGCGCTAACTGTCCATAAGATTGAATTGGTATACTAGAGGAAAGGCAGCAAGTCAATGCCCCCCACATACTTTTGAACTACTAATGTCTGACCGAATACTCTCCCCCCCCCCAAGAGGTACAGCGGTATGTCTGTGGACTTACAACGCTAGAAACCGGGTTTCGATACCGTGGTGGGCAGAGCCCAGATAGCCCATTGTGCAGCTTTGTGCTTAACTACAATCAAACAGACCGAATACTTGGATCCGACCATCATTTTTATAAATCACAGTGCGAAGCGCATTTTGTTGCGGCATCAGGACTAGAACCTTAATTTCTCAACTATGTCCAGTCCAACTAAGATGAAATACTACAGAAAAAAGGGGTGGGGGAGGGAGAGAGAGAAGAGTGATATTTGATGACATATGTTTGTAATATTTATTAAACTAGACTATATATAGATAACCTCGTTGAAAAGAGCTAAAATAAGTATCTACGACGTTGTTCGTACAATTTAAGACAAATATCTACAACGTTGTTAGGACAATTTAAAATAAACATCTGGAATGCTGTTCGTATAATTAAAATAAGCATCTGGAATGTTGTTCGTACATTTAAAATAAGCATCTGGAATGCTGTTCGTACATTTAAAATAAGCATCTGGAATGCTGTTCGTCCATTTAAAATAAACATCTGGAATGCTGTTCGTAGAATTCAAATAAGCATCTGGAATGCTGTTCGTAGAATTAAAATAAGCATCTGGAATGCTGTTCGTACAATTAAAATAAGCATCTGGAATGCTGTTCGTACAATTAAAATAAGCATCTGGAATGCTGTTCGTATAATTAAAATAAGCATCTGGAATGCTGTTCGTATAATTAAGATAAGCATCTGGAATGCTGTTCGAACAGTAAGCATCTAGAATGCTAGGCCCGGCATGGCCAGGTGGTTAGGACGCTCGACTCGCAATCTGTGGGTTGCGGGTTCGAACCCCCGCCACACCAAACATACTCGCCCTTTCAGCCGTGGGGGCGTTATAATGTGACGGTCATCCCACTATTCGTTGGTA